TAAGAGTCGAAACGTTTGTATATATTTGGAATATTGGTCTTATAACAATTTTCAGTATTAAAATCTAAAATTTGTTATTATTATTGCTACTCTTTGATTTTTAATAATTTTATTTTTTGTAACAGTAAAATAATTTAATGGCGGCAATGAAAGCAATAAATACGGTCGTAATTAGTGCGCTTTAATAATACTATATTAGTATAACTATTACATTATAAATAGTACAAACTATTTAGGTTTGTCGTACGTTTCGGTTTATCTCAAACTATTTTCTGCGATGTCCAATATAAATTTTCTCTTGGTGAATACAATACATTTAGGTACACATAATGAATAAAAATTTCAGTATTTACTATACAAGAGATGAACTTTAGCTTTTCTTGGAAAATATCAAACTGTTTTTCAGTTCTTCAACCAAGTGATCACCATTGTATCCATAGATCACACGAGCAACCAACTCTCAACAATTCAGAACGTAAAAATATGACATAATATTTTAAATTTAATAATGAAAGAATTATATTTGAAATTATACGTATATAAATTTTATATTATTTGATGAAAGTCAAGTGTATAATAATTATTTCATTATTTGAATTTCGAGAGCTCTACAATCTAATATTTTAATGTTTCATTTTTTTACATTGTATAAATAATATAAATATTCTCTTTCTATCGCAAGCAAAAAAAAATCCTATTAATCTTTTCACACACAAAAGACATATTAAAACAAATATATCAGATATTCGATCAGCAAAAAATTAATAATATATCTAAAATTAACAGAGACAAAGATGTGTGTAAAACAATTATATAAACAATTTACCAATAGAGATAAGTCTATTAATAACTGCTTCTTCGCCTCATGTCAGATTTATTTTCATTAGAATCATTTTTATTTTAATTGAAAGCGATAAACTATGAAATAAACGTAACGTGCAAAAATAATTTAGTATTTTTAGAATTAATATTTCAATTGCCAACTTCAGCCGGCGACTTGTCGTTCTAAATTCAAATCACGTATTTTCGTGGTCACCCAGTAACCTTAGTCGGCAGCAGGAAATAATAATCATTGTCGATTATTAATGGGACCTCCATCGTCGCCGGCGCGTCGCACCGTACCGGAGAAAGTTTCGGGACGACGTTCCGTTATGTACGCGGAACGAGGATCACGTAGAACAAACGCGGAGTCTCGGGTGGGCCCCGAACCGGAGCCCCAAGGAGGTAGACCGGTGTTTTACGATTTTGCGATGTAGGTCAATTGTCGTGGCGTTCAATGATTCCGCGGTGTCGATCGGAGTCGATCAGAGGTTTCGTTCTTGGAAAAGTCGGGAGTTGGCTGGGAACAACCGGTCGTTCCTGTTCTTTTCGTCCAGGAACTGATGGAACACGATATTCCTCTGTTAGTCGTGATATTTATCGGACAAGCACAACGACACGATCGTCACAAAAAGCTTCGTTGCTCGCCGCGTCTTAATTTACTAGCAGTAATTAATAAAAAATATGTATATTATAAAATGTTAATTAGATTGCATAAGCTGATAAAAAGTGAAGCTCAATAAATAGTTAAATTTGTTTATTTCTGTTGATCTCTCACCCGAGATTCGATGGAAGATATAAAATTTTCCAATATTAATAAAACATAGAGTTGTGAGAAAATAAAACAGGATCTTTTAAAGTAACACGTTATGCATTTAATGCAATTATCTCGAAAGCGAAGATTATTGCGTGAGTAATGATAAATTTGCAAGAGAGATAAATTGCATTAGAAATCAATTTATTTATTTATTTATTTTATTCAGTTTTTTTTCGTTGATCTCGATTTAACAGATAAGATTTGAGATTTTCTGATATAAATAAAATATAAAATTGTCATCAAGAAAATAAAACAAAATATAAAACCTTTTATAATTACCTTATAGTTACTCTTTATGCGTTTAATGCAATTATCTCGGAAGCGGAGATTTTTCTTTTTGGGAACGGCAATAATCTTCGCTTTCAAGATAATTGCATTAAAAATAAATTAATTTATTTCTGTTTTTTAATTTTTTTAAATTGCTGCTAATCTCGATTTAACAGATAAGACTTGGAATTTTCTATATATAAATAAAGCATGGAATTACAAGAAAAAAACAAAGCATAGAATCTTTTAAATAATACATGCGCTTTTAATGCAATTATTTTGAAAGTAAACATTTTCGCAGGGGTGGCACAATCTTCCTTTTCAAGATAATTGCATTAGAATCAAACTAGTCCTTTTGTTAGATTTTTCAAAATTTCTCAATTTGACGAATAATAGCTTTTCTAAATTTTGTGATTTGACGAAAAATAGCTGGAACTTTTTGATATAAATAAAACATAAAACAATAAAAATAGAATGTCGTCAGAATGTCCATTTGAAAATACAGGTTATTATTTTTGAGTCACGCAACGGTCGCGCTTAACTCATCCGTCTGTGGATCGTTCCGACCGGCAAGCGAACTCATGGATCACGTCGATCTCCATGCGTAGGTGTCACTCACGAACTGGTTTGAAGAGTGGCGCAATACGTGTGCGGGTTCGATGAACCTAACGCTCGTATTATACTCTTGTGCGCGTAACAATTTTTCATATTAATTGCATCGCATTTGAATCCTGTCCTCATGTCACTAACACGTGACGTCCGCTCACATTGCTCCGAAATGCACATAGAAAGGACAATTTTGCCGAAGCATCTAAAAATTTCGATATATAGTACTGAAAAAAAGATCTGGTTGAAAATGGACAAATCAGAAGATTCTAATTATATCAGAATTCTAGTTATATATTTAGAATTCTAATACATTTAACCAGAAAATTCTGATTCGTCTATTTTCAACTAGATACTCTTCTCAGTGTTGTTGATTTGAAAATAACTTTATTGAACTAACAAAATAATTATGCAGGAAGCTCAAGCATGTTAAACTCAAGCGAAGTTTTAACGTTCTAGCAACCAGCTTGAGTCCTACATAATTATTTTGATAGCCCAACAAAATAACTTATACAGACCCGCAAGGAACGTCCAGATGATATCCATATTCTTTGAACATTCCAAGAATATTCCTAAAACATTTTTCAGATAAAATATGTTGTAAGGTATTTTTGAGTCTGTAGTTAGCTAAATTTTTAGATACTTCAACTTCTTTTCAAAACCGTTCTTTTCATGCAGAACATAAACGATCGGAAAATTTTTATATCTTTACAAAAGTTAAAATTCTGTACTGGGAAAAACGTATAGTTGGATTGATTGGAATTCTGATTGAAATTGAGCGAATCAGAATTTTTTGGTTAAATCAACTGGAATTCTAATTGAGATAACTGGAATTCTGATTGATATAATCAGAACTGGTTCGTTTATTTTTAACCGGATATTTTTCTCAATGTGTCAACACACTAAAGGTTTGATATTCCAGCAGCCAACTCTTAAACATTCCACATAATTATTTTTATAATCCAACAAAATTACTACGCATCACATTTTATCACGAGAGATATCCTGGGAACATCTTTAAGACGTTCAGACTTTCAAGGAACGTCCTAAAGACAAACATCCTAAGGATGTTTCCAGGATGTATTTTGAATAAAATGCACTGCATTGAAAGAAAAGATTGGCTGCCGCAACAACGAATTTTTGATTGTTTATTTAAAATTAAAAATGTTATGCCATATTTTAACATTTAATCTGCTGCAGCAGCCAATTTTTTTCTTTCACATTCTCTTTAGCTTTGTATCTAGCTAAATCTTGAACACTTTAGCAAAACCGTTCTTT